AATATACTGTCTCCCCTCATTTTCCCACCTTAAATGTATACTTGTGTATAATTCCCCTAATGATCTCCTATGGCAGATACTTTTATTTTAATAATCAGCCATAAGATTAAAAGATGGCAGAGATGAACAGAGAGGATATTTGTTCTTCATCAGACCGTATTCATCGCACTACTCCTGAAGTTGTAGAAATGCACTTTTCTTTCAATTGTCTGGCTCTTTGTGGCATGTAAAGGATGAAATGACTGAAGAAAGAAAGGTCCAAGACATGAAATTGAATGTTTTCATACGCAGTTAAAAATCCCAATTAGACACAAATGATGCTGTCCCTAAATAAAAATCTATCAAATGTTCTTAATGAACCACTATGCTATTGTTTTCCTAGGTTTCACATGTAAATATTAGTTAGAAATGATAGCTTGTAGACAGGGAGAGATGAAAAAGCAGTGAGCAGAGGTGATGGAGGGAGTAGTCTCCTAGGGAGACAGGATGGAATGAGATTGCTTGTGCACATAAAAGGTAGCCTTGGCAAGGAGAAGGGCCACCTCATCATCTGAGAAAAGGGCGAATGTGGATATGGTGGCAGAAGGCATCTGAGTGGTGAGGAATTGGTGAGACACGAAGTGCTCAGAAAATGTCTTCAACTTTTCAATGACGTATGAGACAAGTACATCAGCTGAAAGGCTGGGGGTAGGAGGAAGCAATGGGAAGTGTGAGGAGGAATGAGAAAAGCCACTGTAGTAAGCAAGCTAGTGAGTCAATCGGGGGTGTAAAGAACTTGCCTAGTGGCAGTGAGTGTCCAGTTGAGATTGTCAATCAGGTCAACGTGGTTTCTTGACTCTCTCCAGTTTCATTCAGCAACATGTGAGTAGGAGGGGAGAAAGTGGATCATGGAAGTGATTCAGGGCTGTCCTGGAAGGACAAGACACATGATAGGATGGGGGGGGTAAGACAAAGTATTCTAGAGAAGAGGACAATGTAGAGTCGAACTGGTTCATTAAAGGGCCCAGATGGTGAAAGGAGGGGAGGATAGCCAGTACAAGGGTGGTGGCTCCAGGCTGGGCTGAATCTGCCTGCGTGCCTGACCAATGACCTGTGCTCTCTCTCCCTAATTCCTGGGGCCACCACGATGCCCACTTACATCACCCTACTCTACTTTGGTGAACCTTGGGGATTGGAGATCTAACAAGGTCTTGAAAAGGGGCTTCTCACAGATGGAAGGGACCTTGGAGACCTTTAAGCCCACCCACTCCACACATGTAAATCTTTTTTTTTTATTTTTTCTTGATATAAATTTATTTATTTTTAGTTTCCAACATTTACTTCCACAAGATTTTGAGTTCCAAATTTTCACCGCATCTTGCCCTCCCCCCACCCCAAGATGGCATGCATTCTGAATACCCTTCCCCCAGTCTGCCCTCCCTTCTATCTCCCCCCCCTTACCTCCTTCCCCTTCTATTTTCCTGTAGGGCAGGATAGATTTCTGTACCACGTTTCCTGTATTTCTCATTTCCCAGTTGCATGTGAAAACATTTTTTTTAAACATGTGTTTTTAAAACTTTGGGTTCCAAATTTTCTCCCTTCCTCCCTCCCCACCCACCCTCATTGAAAAGGCAAGCAACTCAATATAGGTTATACATGTGCAGTTATGCAAAACACTTCCATAGTAGACCTGTTTTGAAAAACTAACTCTATTTCCCTTAATCCTACCCTGCCTTCCCCCATCTATTCTATTCTTTCTTCTGACCCTGTCCCTCCTCAGAAGTATTCTTCTGATTACCCCTTTCCCAATCTGCCCTCTCTCTATCATCCCCCTGCTCTCTTGTCCCCTTCCCCCCTATTTTCCTGTAGGGTAAGACAGATTTCCATACCCAATTGAATGTGTATGTTATTCCCTCCTTAAGCCAAATCCTGTGAGAATAAGATTCACTCATTCCTCTCACCTTCCCCCATTTCCCCTCCACTGTAAGAGCCTTTTCTTTTTTCTTTTTTTTGTGAGATAATTTACCCCATTCTACCTCTCCCTTTCTTCTTCTCCTAGTATAATCCTCTCTCATCCCTTAATTTTATTCTCCAGATATCACCCCTTCCTCTTCAACTCACCCCGTGCCCTCTATCTATCTGTCTATCTATCTATCTATCTATCTATCTATCTATCTATCTATCTATCTATCTACCTACCTACATATCTACATACATATAATTTTTTCCCCTCCTACTATCCTAATACTGACAAAGGTCTCATGAGTTATAAATATCATCTTTCCATGCAGGAATGTAAACAGTTCAAACTTAATAAGTCTCTTATGATTTCTCTTTCCTGTTTACCTCTTCATGTTCCACTTGAGTCTTGTATTTGAAAGTCAAATTTTCTATTCAGCTTTGGTCTTTTCATCAAGAATGCTTGAAAGTCCTCTATTTCACTGAATGACCATTTTTTCCCCTGAAGGATTATACTCAGTTTTGCTGGGTAGGTGATTCTTGGTTGTAATCCTATCTCCTTTGCCCTCCAGAATATTATATTCCATCCTGCGGCCTTTAATGTAGAAGCTGCTAAATCTTGTGTTATCCTGATTGTGTTTCCACCATACTTGAATTGTTTCTCTCTGGCAGCTTGTAATATTTTCTCCTTCACCTGGGAACGCTGGAATTTGGCTACAATATTCCTAGGAGTTTTCCTTTGGGGATCTCTTTCAGGAGGAGATCTGTGGATTCTTTCAATTTCTATTTTGCCCTCTGGTTCTAAAATCAGGGCAGTTTTCCTTGATAATTTCTTGAAAGATGATGTCTAGGCTCTTTTTTTGATCATGGCTTTCAGATAGTCCAATAATTTTTAAATTCTCTCTCCTGGATCTATTTTCCAGGTCAGTTGTTTTTCCAATGAGATATTTCACATTGTTTTCTAATTTTTCATTCTTTTGGATTTGTTTACTGTGTCTTGATTTCTCATAAAGTCACTAGCTTCCAATTGCTCTATTCTAATTTTTAAGGAAGTATTTTCTTCAGTAATCTTTTGGACTTCCTTTTCCATTTGGCCAATTTTTCTTTTTAGGGCATTCTTCTCCTCATTGGCTTTTTGGACCTCTTTTGCCGTTTGGGTTAGGCTATTTTTTAAGGTGTTATTCTTCAGTATTTTTGGGTCTCCTTTAGCAAGCTGTTGACTTGTTTTTCATGATTTTCTTGCATCACTCTCATTTCTCCTTCCAGTTTTTCCTCTACTTCTCTTACTTGCTTTTCAAAATCCCTTTTGAGCTCTTCCAAGGCCTGGGACTGATTGATATTTTTCTTGGAGGCTTTGGATGTAGGGGCTTTGACTTTGTTGTCTTCTTCTGGTTGTATATTTTGGTCTTCTTTTTCACCAAAGTAAGATAATATAGTCTGACTCTTTTTGCGCTGCTTGCTCATGATCCCAGCCAATTACTTGAGTTTTAAACTCTTTGTTAAGGTGAGAGTCTGCTTCCAATGTGGAGAATGTACTGTCCCAAGCTTCGGGGGTTTATACAGCTGTTTTCAGAGATGCTTGTAGGGACCTGTAAATTTTTGGTTCTTCCAAGGTGGTATGATAAGGGGCGAGGTGTTTACTCCTTTCCTGGCCTGTGCTCTGGTCTATTAGTGACCACAAGCACTCCTTTCTGTCCTGGAACTGTGAGGAAGGTTATCTCTACACTGCCACTACCAGCTCCATCATGCCAGCACTCCTCCTCACTCCAGGACCACCACCCAGAGCTGTGACCCAGATCCAAGCACGGGAAAGGAAGAGATTCGTGCCTCAGCATTGGCAAAGAGATCCCTGTAATCCCTCTTTGATCAGCCACTGGATTCCCCCTCAGTCTGTGGGCTGGAAGCTCAGGACGCAGCCACTGCCCCAGCACCTGCGCTCTGCACTCTGTGCTCTAGTACTGGCTCTGACCTAGTTACTCTCTCACTGCAGAAACAGACTTTTCCCACTGACCTTCTAAGTTGTCTTCGGCATTTGTGGGTGGAGAGGTCTGGAAGCCATCACAGCTGCCTGGGATTCAGTCCTCTGAGGCCTGCTCCAGGTTTTCGGTGGCCTGCACGGCCATGCCTCACCGCACTCCCCTGATAGCCCGGCACGATATACCTTTCCAATCAATCATCCAGAATGTCTTGGGCTGGCGATTTGGTTCACTCTGTCTTTTTGTGGGTTCTGCTGCTTTAGAATTTGTTTAGAGCCATTTTTTATGAGTATTTGGAGGGGTTTGGGGGACAGCTCAAGCACGTCACTGGTTTCACTCTGCCATATTGGCTCCGCCCCTGCTTCTAAATCTTTTCAAGGTAGGGAAGCCTAAGCCTCAGAGAGGGGAACTGGTTGATGGAGGTCACACAATTAGCAGGGCAAAGGTCCAGGACAGGAGCCCAGGTGTCCTGCTGCCCAGCTAGGAACTCTCTGTGTAGTCTTCAAGCTGTGGAGTGTCTTATCTCCTTCCTGGGAGGGGGTGTGTGGTGGGAAGCAGATGAGAGTCCTGTCTCATGGGGGTTTTCCTCTGACAAGATTGTGTCTGGACCAGAGAATAAGGGAACAGGAAAATAAGCTCCTCCACTCTCCTCCTCCCAGTCCTCCTGCCTCTCATTTGTCTTAGCACAGACTGGGCAGCTGAGGAAGGAGGTCTTGGGAGCCTGGGCTGGGCTGATGGCGGGATCTGGGAGAAGGAAAGGAAGGGAGGATTGCCTGGACCTCTGGGCTCTGATTCTTTTTCTGGGTCACTTCCCAAATTGGGGTTACAATGACTGATCAAAAGGACAAAGCAATAATTCCTTCCCCAACTCCACACTCTCCCCTTAAATTCCCTTCTGCTGTCTCCCCTCCCCTACTTGCTCCTGGCTGAGTTGAATGCATTTCGACCCCAAAGTCTGTGTTTGCTGTGTGTCCCTGGGCCTCCTTCTTGCACCTGACTGCCCTCCCCATCCCCACAAAACCCCACCCTCCTTCAACTGGAGACCACAAGGAAGAAGAAGCTGCTACTTCCCTTTCTTAACAAGGCTGAAGACTGGGAAACATTGCGGGATCCTCTGCCTGACCTTCTCTCCAAGGCTGGGGCTACCATGGGCCCTGCAGGCACTGCCCTGCTGTGCTTGGGTGAGTCCTGGGGAGGGAAATCCAAGAGGGCTCCAGGGACGGGGGCTCCTGTAGCTTTTACAGTGGTCTCACAGACCATTGTGGTCATTCCCCAGCCCATACATGCCTTTCACAGAAGCTCAGAGGGGGGACTGATTTTCTGGAGGCCCCAGTGAGTGGGGGGCAGGATCCAGGTCTCCTGAAACCCACCTAGTCCCTCTCAGTCCAGTCTCCAGGGCCAGGCTCTGGCTTCCTTTTTGTTTTGTCTCTAGGGCTGGGTAGGAAGGAAGTGGGGAGCCAGGTCTAATGGGGGTCTTCTCCAACAGGATTGTGCATAGGCCAAGGGATCAAGGAACAGGCAGGTGAACCCCTTCCCCCACCCTAAGCCCTTTTGCCCCTGATCCCCATTTGGCACAGACTGGGTGGCTGGGAAGGGAGGACTTCGGAGCCCTGCTGAGGCTAATGGGGGTGTCTATGGGGGGAGAGACTGGGATGGGGAGGGAGGACCCCCTGGACCTCTGGACTCTGATTCTCTTCCAGAGACATTCCTCAGACCCACCCTCGAGGCTGACTCAAGCCCTGTGATCCCGCAGGGGACACCCGTCACCCTCAGGTGCAAGGGACATCCTGGGGCTATTTGGTATTTTCTGATGAAAGGAGAAATTCAGTTCCAAGGTGTACTTGGAGAAAAGATGGAGGCTAACTTCCACATCCACTCCATGACAAGGGACACTGCAGGGAGTTACCACTGCTTCTATATGACCCTGTCTGGCTTCTCAGAGCTCAGTGAGCCCCTGGAGCTGGTGATGACAGGTGAGGCAGGACCCCCTAGCACCTGGCTCTACCCCTCAGCCAGGGTGGAGTCTGTGTCCCCAGCAGATTCCTCACCCCTCCCCCAATCTTCTGCTCCCTGCCCTCTGCCCCCAAGCCGAGCTGGGGCTTAGGAATTATCATGGTAGAGCCCTAACTCTCTGTAAAGGGGCCTGCAGTGTGTGTGTGTGTGTGTGTGTGTGTGTGTGTGTGTGTGTGTGTGTGTGTACTGGGGGAGAAGGGAGACAGAGCTGCACAGGAGATTTGGGGAGAGCACTTCAACCAATAGAGGGGTTCAGCTATCCATGGTTGTGGGGGAGGAGAAGACTGGGGAGAAGATCCTGGAGCTGACTGGGCAGGAGGATGCTGAGGACCCCTGGAGCCTACCAGGGAAGGAAGCTTCTGTCCTAAGCCTATGCACTGAGGCATCACAGCCCTCTCCTGCCCTCCTTCTCTCCTTGCTCTGCCTCAGGTCTTCTGCCTTGCTCCCCTTCTTTTGCCTCCTCCCTGCCCCCATCTGGGGCTGGTCCTTTTTGAGTGGGGGGTCTTATCCAATCTTGGGGCCTCATCTCTGTTCTCAGGACACAGGGCAGAGCTGAGGGGAGAAAGGATCTTAGCCTGGGCTCACTGGAGGCATGGAAGGGAAAATGAAGATGTTTTCCAGCCCATAACCATCCCCTGGAATGACAAGAGGAGAGGAGGACGGACCCAGGTTGAGGAAGGGCAGCACTGTCATCACTACCATGTCTTCTTCTCCAGGCTTCTATGACAAACCCTCCCTGTTGGTCGTGTCTATTCAGGAAGTGGCTGAGGGACAGATTGTGACTCTCTCGTGTCATTCGGAGCAACCATTTGATCAGTTCACCTTCTACAAGGAGAGAGGGGCCAATACCTCTCAGCTCCAGACAGTTTGGTTCTGGACAAACATATCCATTGTTTCTATGACCACTACTCAGGAAGGGACCTACCGATGCTACAGTTTTCACAGTCAGTATCCCTACCTGTGGTCGGCCTCTAGTGATCTCCTGGAGGTTAAAGTTGCAGGTGAGGAATTCCCCACCTGGACCCCTTCCACCCCACAAAGCCACAAGAGACTCCCCTGCTCCTTGGGCCCTGCAAGACAGGGACTGGGGTTGGAGTTGGTCTAACTTCAGAACTTCCCAAGATCTCTGATATGGGTGACAAAAGATAGGGTGGGGAATCTCACATCTTCAGAAAGGGGGAGCTCCCAGGGCCCTGCTGGGGGTGGTGGAGGTGGGGTGGACAGGGGCTGGCCTGGGGTCTGAGTTCTCTGTGGATGATGATATCTGGGCTCACATTTAATGTCACTTAGGAATAGGGAGCCCCTGTCTCTCTTGCAATGACAGCCTGCCCCTTACCCTAGATGCTGCCCCCCAAGATTACACCGTGGGCAATCTCATCCGCTTCAGCCTGGCTGGGCTGGTCCTCATCATTCTGGCCATCCTGTCGGTAGAGGCCTGGTATAGCTGGAGAGTGCTCCAAGAAGCAGCCCTTGCCTGAGAAACCAAGAGGGCAGAGCTGGAGTCTGGTGAACAGGTGGACACTCAAGTCATGGAGTCTCTGAAGGACAGTTCTGCAGAGTCTAGAGAGAGAAAGGAGAAGGATCTCAGTTCTGTTTGCCCTGGTGCCTAGCCTGGCTTCTCTTCCTTACAGATGATAATGCCTAGCCCTCCTTCCCCCTGCCTCAGCCTTCCTCTTCTTCTTTCTCCTCTTCCTTTCCCCCTTCTTCCCTCTTCTTTCTCCTCCTCCTCCTCCTCCTCCTCCTCCTCCTTCTCCTTCTCCTTTTCCTCTTTCTCCTCCTTCTCTTCCTTCTTCTTTTTCTTCTATGTGGGAGTGCTATGTGGTGATGGGTAGGGAAAGTGATTCTAAATAAAAAAGAAAACATAAATGAAGAAACTAAAATCCAAGATAGTTTTGTTATCATAGTGTTAAATTTAATTCACAGCTAATAAAACTAAACAATATGGAGTGTCTCAAAAGTTTTAGTATAGTTTTAAGCTTCAGTAACCTCAGAAATATAAATGCTGTAAACTTACCAAAATATCATTAAAATTTTAATTATTTCGTTTCTTTTACACTCATGTGATTTTGTGAATTTTGAAAACCATTTTAAATTTAAATTTAATTTTCTTCATGACACTATTTCAAACCAATGGGTCAGTAGAGAAGGTCTTCCCATTTGGTCCCCTTTATCTCTGGATCTATCTCCTTTAGACATTTTGCTGTGGGGTCATGTATGCATAAACCCAGCTTGTTGAATGATCTTGAGGCTAGGATTAAGTGTGCAATACTTTCAGTCACTGAGCAGCAGCTGATAAACATTTTTGCCAAGTTCAAAAATTGACTATAGTAATGTACAGTGCAAGATGGTGGTTATGCTGAATTTTAATAAGAAAGATATCAGTATCTTAAAGTGTATGTGATTACCCTTTCAAATGATGCTTTTTTAAGAAAGTTTTTAGCATTTACACTTCTGAAGTAATTAAGTCTTCAACCTGCACTAAGACTTTTGGGACAAATTCCAGTGGTTCCCTATTGCCTCTAGGTCCAAATATAAAATCCTCTGGTTTTTAAAGCCCTTTAAAACCTGTCCCCTTGCTACCTTTGTAATTTTCTTGCATTTTTCTCCCCACAACTCTATTATCCAGTGACACTGGCCTTGTTGGTATTTCTCACACAAGATACTTCATCTTTTGACAGTATCTTTTCATTGGCTGTCCCACCTGAATGGAATGTTCTTCCTTATCTCTGTCCCTGGCTTCTCTGATTTCCTTTAAGTCTCAGCTAGAATCTGATGTTTTGGGAGACGTGTTTCGTATTCCTTCCTTAATACCTTCCCTCTGAGATTATCTCTCTTCTATCTTTCCAGCTAGGTAGTGCAATGAACAGAGCATTGGAGTCTGGAAGAGCTCAGATCTGGTTTCATGCACTTACTAGCTATTTGACCCTGGGCAAATCATTTGTCCTCTGCCTGCCTCGCTTTGCTCAACTGTAAAAGGGAGATAATAGCACCTACCACCCAGGGTTATTGTGAGAATCAAATGAGATAATCTTTGTAAAGTTCTTAGCATGGTGCCTGGCACATAGTAGGCACTCAACATATCCTTCCTTCCTTCCTTCCTTCCTTCCTTCCTTCCTTCCTTCCTTCCTTCCTTCCTTCCTTCCTTCCTTCCCTCCTTTCCTTCTTCCTTCCTCTCTCTCCAGGCTGTACTCCTAACCCTCCTGGTCTTTCTTTACAATGCTCCAGAAACCTCTTCCCCCTGAAAACTCACTCCAGCCCTGGACTTCACATACTGGAAGTACCCTCCACCTCTTCAGCCTCTCTCTCTGATTGTCTGGTCCTTTCATAACCACCATCTTAGATAGGAGGAGGCCAGTCATGTCTTCATTCTTTTCCAGGCTATACTCGTGATTGTCCCATTCTTTCTCTACCAGGCTCCAGTTCTGGAGAGCAGGGACTGTCTGCTTGTATATGTGTTCTCAGCACCTAATATAATGCCTGGCACATATTAAGTGCCTAAAAAATTTCCGATTGACTTGAACTGACTTTACCCTTTTTATTTTTTCTTTGCACAACTAGCGTTCATGTTGTCTCCCCCATTGGTTTGTGAATCCTTTGAGGTCAGGTATTATTTTTGCTTTTTCTTTTTTATCCCTAGCACTTAATGTGCTTGGCACATAGTAAGAACTTCATAAATGTTTGTTGAATTGATTTGATTTGACCTGATATCACAGACATGACCTGTCCTGGAAGTAAGACAAAATAGAGGTCTCAAGCTCAGCCACAGCACAAAAGAAGGCAAGGGGAAGAGAAACACACACACACACACACACACACACACACACACACACACAGTCCATAGATAACTTACCAGGGATTGGTATCCTAGGTGAGACACACAAGAACACCACGTACATATCTAGGAAGCCTTCTGAGGCTGATGAAAATGCAGGCACACATCACTAATACTAGTCAATCCCTGAGGGTTCAGTCACCTCTCAGAGGCACAAAAAGTGCAAGGGCTATGTGCTAGTGGCTTCAGGGGTGGGCTGGCAATGCCAGCAGAAGTACCTTTCTTCTTCCTTGGTAAATTTCTCCACCACATTTCATGTGGAAGCCCAGGCTGGTTGCCCAATATAGCTCAACATCTAGCAGCCTGTTTGTGGGCACTTCATTAAAGCTGATGGCCAACCCATTGCTTCTGTCCATGATGCTGGTAGTTCTGTTATTTGGAGCCTAGTAGGAACACATCCAGTCACTTTTTTACCATACTCCTTCAAGACACAGCAAATCAGATTCATAGAATCTCAGAGTTGTGAGGGGCATCAGAGGCTTCTGGGTAATCTGTGCCAGAATAACTCACATCATCAACTGCCATTTTTATCAGACTGTCCCCACAGATATCTCAAATTAAACATGCCCAAGATAAAACTCATTGATTTAAATAAGAAGGAAATGAAGAAGATAAATAGAATTTTAGATAAGCTAGATATGATAGATATCTAGAGAGAACTGAATGGGAATAGAAAGGAATATACCTTTTTTCTCAACGGTACACAGTACCTTTACAAAAAATAACCATATATTAGGGCTTAAAAATTTTATAGTTGAATGCAAAAGAGCAGAAATAGTAAATGTATCCTTTTCAGATCATGATGCAATGAAAATTAAATGTAACAAGAAACTATGGAAACACATTACAATTAACTGGAAACTAACTTAATCTTAAGGAATGAGTGGGTTAAAGAACAAATCATAGAAACAATAAATAATTTTATTAAAAAGAATGATAACAATGAGAGAACATACCAAAACCTATGGGATGCAGCAAAGCAGTAATCACAGGAAAATTTTATATCTCTAAATGCTTACATCACTAAAATAGGGGAAAAAAACCTAGGAAAAAAAAAACAAATTAAAAATTTCCAATTAGACACCAAATTGGAAATTCTAAAATTTGAAGGTGAGATTAATAAAATTAAATGTAAGAAAACCATTGAATTAATAAATAAAACTAGAAACTGATTTTATAAAAAACCAATAAAATGGATAAACTATTGGTTAATATGATTAAAAAAGAGATAGAAGAAAACCAAATCACTAGTATAAAAAATAAAAGGGTGAATATACCACGAATAAAGATGAAATCAAAGCAATTATTAGGAATTCTTTTGCCCAATTATATGCCAAGCAATTGAACAATTTAAGTGAAATGGAAAGATACATATAAACTGCCTAGATTAACAGAAGAGGAAATAGAATATCTAAATAAACCCATTTTAGAAAAAGAAATTGAACAGGTCATATATGAGCTTCCTAGGAAAAAAAGTATGAGGAGTAGATAGATTTACAAGTGAATTCTACTCACATTTGATTACATTTATTTATTATTAATTAATTATTATAGATGTATCTAATTATAATATTAAATAAATTATTTGGAATAATAGGCAAAGGAGACCTACCCCACTCCTTTTATGAAACAAATATGGTGCTGATATCTAAACCAGGAAGAATAAAAGCAGAGAAAGAAAATTAGAGACCAATTTCACTAACAAATACAGATGCAAAAATCCTAAATAACATACTAATTAGGAGACTACAACAATATATCACAGAGATTATACATAATGATCAAGTAGGATTTATACCAGGAATGTGGGAATAGGTTAACATAAAGAAAACTATTAACATAATTGAGTTATCAATAGCAAAAGTAACAATATCATATGATTATATCAATAGATGAAGAAAAAGCTTTTAACAAAAAACAACTCATTCTTATTAAAAACACTTGAAAACATAGATATAAATGGATTTTTTCTTAAGATGATAAGAAACATCTACCTAAAACCACAAACGAGCATTATTTGTAATGGGGATAAGCTAGAAGCCTACACAATAAGATCAGGAGTGAAACGAGGATGCCCGTTATCATCAATATTATTCAATATTGTACTAGAAATGCTGGCAGTAGCAATAAGAGCAGAAAAAGAAATTAAAGGAATCAGAATGGGCAATGAGGTAATAAAACTATATTTTGCTGACAATATGATGACATATTTGGAAAATCTTAAGAGATTCAACTAAAAAGCTAGTTGAACCAATAATTTTAGCAAAGTAGCAGAATATAATGTGAACTCACATAACAGTATTCCTATATATCACCAACAAAACCCTGCAGGAAGAGATAGTAAGAGATACCTCATTTAAAATCACTATAGACAGTACAAAATACCTGAGAATATATCTGCCAAGGCAAACCTAGGAACTACATGAACCTAATTATAAAACGCTTTTTATATAAGTAAAGTCAGAATTAAATAATTGGAGAAAGATTAATTGTTCACGAAAAGACAGAGCCAATATAGTCAAAATGACAATTCTACCTAAACTAATCTATTTATACAATGCAATCCTGAATAAATTACTAAAAAAATTATTTTATTGAGCTAGAAAAAAAATAACAACAAAATTTATTGGGAAGAACAAAAGGTCAATAATATCAAAGAAATGAATGAAAAATGTAAAGGAAAGAGGTTTAGCAGTGCCAGGTCTTAAACTATATTATAAGACAGTAATTATCAAAACTATCTGGTATTGGCTAAGAAATAGGAAGGTGGATAACTGGAACAGGGTAAATATGCCATACATAGTAAAAATGATGATAGTGTTTGACAAATGTAAAGATTTGAGCTTGTGGGATAAGAATTCACTATTTGGTAAAAATTGATGGGAAAATTAG